AGAGAGAGAGAGAGAATTTTTAATATTTATTTTTTAGTTCTCGGCGGACACAACATCTTTGTTGGTATGTGGTGCTGAGAATCGAACCCGGGCCACACGCATGCCAGGCGAGCGAGCTACCGCTTGAGCCACATCCCCAGCCCCAGCCTGCATCTTGTTTGTTCTTATGTAGTTTCCTTTTCTCCTGAAGTCATTCTCTTTGTTTGTGTTCATATACCAAGATTTGAATAAAGTCTTATGTGCCCTCAAAAAAAAAAAAAAAGCCCCTCAGTAAACATCACAACGTTGGTAAACCTTTACTTTTTGGTTCATTTTCTTGTAACAGTTTTTCTGAGATAGAAATCACAATTCATTGGAGATAGTGGCACACATCTGTAATCCCAGTAATTTGAGAGGCTAAGGCAGAGGATCATAAATTCAAGGTCAGCCTCAACAACTTCGTGAGACCTGTCTCAAAATAAAAAATGAAAAGGGCTGGGGATGTAGCTCCTTCTCTCACTCTTGGTTCAGACCCTGGCTCAAAACAACAACTAAGAAAGAAAGAGTTAATATGTTTTCAGATAAGCCAGAAGAGCCAAGAAGGATGGTTAGGAAGGCAGAAAGTTGGAATGGCATGTGCTCGAGGTAGGGACAGGGAAGATAAAAAAGAAAAGTAAAATATGACTTCAAATATTTTTTAAAAACTGTATAATAAGAAAACACTGCTGGAGTTTGCTCTATGGCAAGCATGTGCCGAGTGCCAGGGAGACTGGTGACTCAGTCTCTGACTTCAGGGATCTCCCAGTAAACAATTACAAAACATGGGAGGAAAGTACAGGAAGCAGACCTAGCCCATCAGGGGAAGTTCACACCTGAGTTTTGAGCAGTGAGGAGGTGAGGCCTGGCACCCAAGGAAACAGCATGTGTAGGGGCAGGAGCATGAGAGAGAATGGTATGCTGCGGGTGGGTGAAATGGTAACTAGATCAGCATGGCTAAACAAGGAGAGCTAAGAGGAGTGATTGGAAGAGGATCCAAAAGCGGATCCTGTGGGTGCTGTTAACATTCTGCCTCTTAATCTGAATGTTGGAATTCATCATTTTGTAAAAATTCATTTACCTCTACACTAATGATTTGGACATTTTCTATATAATGAAATACTTCAATAAAAAGTTGCATCCAAAAAGTCTCAGTAAACAGACAGGGGTCAGATCATGGAGAGCTTAGTTTGCACAATCATCCAAAAACATCTATCTACAGGCCCAGACAGAACTTTCGACATAATGCCTGAGAAGGAGCCTTGTGAGGAAGGAACTGTGCCAACAGGGTTATGAGTTTTACCCAAAAATGATACAATTTACCATTGTCTGTTACTGCAGCCCAGATGTTCAGGCAGTAGGTTTTGAACAAGGCTTGGCCTTTAGCCTGACCACAGGAACATTAGGGTAAATCAGTCAAGGGGGGTATGTGCATTGGCTATGGTATCAAGGAATGTCATTATCTACGCAATCTAGATCTTAATATGTTTTCTTTTCTTTTTTTTTAAAGAGAGAGTGAGAGAGGAGAGAGAGAGTGAGAGAGAGAGAGAATTTTTAACATTTATTTTTCAGTTCTCGGCGGACACAACATCTTTGTTTGTATGTGGTGCTGAGGAT